CAGGGCAGGCCCAGAAGAAGGGACGGACTCAGAGTGGGCATCAGAAGCCTCTGCAAGGGCGGAAACAGCTCACTCTGGATTTAAAGGTTGACCAAGAAGGACGCAGGCTAAGAAGCACAAGGTTCCTGGGGCAAGAGACGGCTCCACTTGACTTCTTTATTTAGGGCATTAAACACCCATGACTGCTGAAACACGTATTAAGAGCCTCTATTTATCTCTTTCTAGCTCACTGTTTTGAAATGACACTAATTCCATTTTATAACATTGAAATAAAACTTAAGATGTTTGTTAAGCACCCTAAACAACCATATATTAAATTGCTGGAGTATGTTATGCATGTCAAGTGTGTTCCTCTCATTCGTCAAGAAAACTTCAAACTGTGTCCAGAATGGGGGTTTTCATGAACGGGTCTCCAGTGGGGGGCCATCTGCGGCCTGGCTGGGTCTCTGCCTCGCTCCTGCCTGCTCACTTGTGTGACGCAGCCCTGGGACCTCCTTGGGCCTCTGCGCTCCATGGGCGGCAGGCCCCCCTGCACGCTTGGAGTGGATTAGCCTTACATTTCACGGGTTAGGAAATCGAGACACAGAGGTCACTGGGCAACCGGCCCCAGAGCAGAACAGGAGCACTGGCAGAGGCGGGCCCCTGCCCCTGCTGGCTTTTCCCCATTGGGGAGAGTGGCCCCTTGACGAACCGAACACTGTGCATCTCTCAGGACAGAGCTGAAGACACTAACAATTACCCAGCAGTGGAAAACCCCCCTGGCTCTGCGTCTCGTGTTGAGGACGTCTCAGCCTGTGTCTTTCCACCCGGCCTGGAGCCCTCCTCTCTGGGAACTGTTTTTCTATGTACTTTCCTCGGGGCCACTAAACTTTCCTGCTTAAAAACAAACAAACAAAATAACCTCTTCGAGTTTTATGGCTATTTCTTTTTTCTCTATGTTAAAAGATTCTCTATTTCTTTTGACAGCATCATTTCTGTACCAAAGGTGTCCCTATTTCTTCCTCCACTCCCGGCCCTCCGACTGTGTGTGACAATGTGCTCTCTGGGCCTCAGCTGTACTTTCTGACTTGACATTCACCGTCCCTACTCCCACCCCTTCCCATTACCCGTTGCTATGAGGCAGCATTTGTTGGCAAAATCTGTGTGTTCGCTGTGGCTTCCCACAGCTGTAAAAAATGGCTTCACCACTCACCTTCTGTCAGAACTACCATGATGCACACTTGTAGACTGCAGACAGCTACGCAGTCTCCTAATGAAAACAGCCTGAAGTCCACTAGACACAAGGTGCTGACTAGTGGTCAGAAAATCACCTGTTGTGTATAGGTGGGCACAAAACATCCAGTTTGTGCAAGTTGTGAATTGATGCATATAAAGGAATACAAATAACTACATGTAAAAATTGTCGTATAATAGAACCTTCTTAAGGGATAGTTCACATCATTAATTTAAAAATATGTTTCTCAGTTTTTCAATTGATACTTACATCAAGCCACATACTAAATATTCAGGTACTTTAATAATTAAATGTTATAATTTTTTTTAGATTGTGAAACCTTGGTCAATATTTACAGGGCTTAATTTTCCCACATCTCAGTGTCCTTGTCTGTAGAATGGGTTGTTGTGAGGATTAAATGAGTAGATACATGAAGACACTTAGAATATAGTGTCAAACAGAACAGATAGAAAGTTGGAGGAGGGTGTTATATCATTCTGAGGGTGGGGAGGAAATTTGCAAGCAGAACACAA